GTTCAGGCAATTCTCCTGCCTCAGCCTCCTGAGTAGCTGGGATTACAGGCACGCACCACCATGCCCAGCTAATTTTTTGTATTTTTAGTAGAGACGGGGTTTCACCATGTTGACCAGGATGGCCTCGATCTCTTGACCTCGTGATCCGCCCACCTCGGCCTCCCAAAGTGCTGGGATTACAGGCTTGAGCCACCGCGCCCGGCCGGGAGAGGCATTTTGTGGGGGTCTCTGTCAAGGCCCCACCTGGCTCTGAGCCAGCCCTGGGAGTTGCCAGCTCTAAGCTACAGCAAAAGCCAGGAAGGGAGACAGATGGCAGTGCTCCGCAGAGGAGGAAGCTGGGGGTGGGGGTGACTCAGCCCAAGTGGAGGGGGCGCTGCGACTCCTCCCGGAGGCCTCTAAATGAGGAAGCAAGATGGAGAAGGGGGGGCAGGGAGAAAAGCAGGGAAGGCAGGAAATTGGCCCCCCAAAATATTTATAGCTCTTAGGCTTTCAGGACTCACCCAGGGCCTCCGTGTCTCCTGGGTGGGCTGCGGGGCCCTCAACAGTTTCTGCAGGGGGTTCCTGAGAGCGGCTACTGCAGGGAAGGCTGTGGGGCAAACAAGGTATCAGCATCGGGGGGGGGGGGAGGTCCACAACTTGTCCCTGATAGCCCCTCAAAATGAAGACTTAGTATCAAGGTATCAGGCATCCCCCAAGGAAGCAACTGATATCTGAACAGCCTGGTTTTGCCTCTCATTAGTAATATTATTATTATTGGAGATGGAGGCTTGCTCTGTCGCCAGGCTGGAGTGCAGTGGTGCCATCTCAGCTCACTGCCACCTCCGCCTCCCAGGTTCAAGCAATTCTTGTGCCTTAGCCTCCCAAGTAGCCGGGACTACAGGTGTGCAACACCACACCCGGCTAATTGTTGTATTTTTAGTAGAGATGGGGTTTTGCCATGTTGCCCAGGCTGGTCTCAAACTCCTGACCTCAAGTGATCCGCCCGCCTCAGCCTCCCAAAGTGCTGGAATTACAGGCATGAACCACTGTGCCCAACCTAATTATTATTATTATTTGAAAAACAGTAGGCACAGGACAGCCTGCCAGGTTCCAATTCCAGTTCTCCATGGCCTTGCTGTGTGAGTCTGGACACATTACCTCCCACTCCAAAGAATGCCTCAGTTTCCTTGGCTTCCCAATGGTTTTTTTTTCTTTGAAAAATTTATTGATTGATTTTTAAAAAGAGATGGGAGCCTGGGCAACACAGGAGACCCCAATCTCTACAAACATAAAAAATTAGCCAGGAGTAGTGGTGCAGGGCTCTGTTCTCTGCTCCCAGCTACTTGGGAGGCTGAAGTAGGAGGACGGTTTGGGCCAGGGAGGCCAAGGCTGCAGTGAGCCATGATTGTGCCACCGCACTCTAGCCAGGGTGACAGACTGAGACCCTGTCTCAAAAAAAAAAAAAAAAAAAAAAAAAAAAAAAAAAAAAAAGAAAAAGAAAAAGAAAAGGCCAGGCAGGCATGGTGGCTCACGCCTGTAATCCCAGCACTTTGGGAGGCTGAGCCAAGTGGATCCCTTTAGGTCAAGAGTTCAAGACCAGCCTGGCCAACATGGTGAAACCCTGTCTCTACTAAAAGTACAAAAATTAGCCAGGCTGGTAGCAGGTGCCTGTAATCCCAGCTACTAAGGAGGCTGAGGCAGGAGAATCGCTGGAACCCAGGAGGCAGAAGTTGCAATGCACCGAGACTGTGCCACTGCACTCCACCCTGGGTGACAGAGTACAACTCCATCTCAAAAATTAAAATATTTGAACTTGTTTTGGCAGCATGATTTAAAAAGTCATTTATATATATATATATATATATATATATATATATATATATATTTTAGTGCATAAAAATTTTCTGGGGGTTGTAAATAATGATAATTTTTATAATGATAATCAGTAAATAAAAATTAGAGGCAGTGTCTCGCTATGTTGCCCAGGCTGGGCTCCTACAATCTTCCCACGTTAGCCTCCCACAGTGCTGGGATTACAGGCGTGAGCCACTACGCCCAGCTCCCCAAGGCTTTTTGTTGTTGTTGTTGTTGAGATGGAGTCTTGCTCTGTTGCCCAGGCTGGAGTGCAGTGGTGCTATCTCAGCTCACTGCAGCCTCCACCTCCCAGCTTCAAGCGATTCTCTTGTCTCAGCCTCCCAAGTAGTGGGATTACAGGCACCTGCGACCATGCCAAGCTAATTTTTGTATTTTTAGCAGAGAGGGGATTTCACCGTGTTGGCCAGGCTGGTCTCAAACTCCTGACCCCAGGTGATCCACCCACCTTGGCCTCCCAAAATGCTGGGATTACAGGCGAGCCACTGTGCTCAGCCTCCCAGGGCTTTTGAATCAGCCCATACACATCAAATACTGCCTGTTAACCTCTTTTTGTTTGTTTGTTTTCGTTTTTGTTTTTGAAACGTAGTCTTGCTCTGTCACCCAGGCTAAAGTGCAGTGGCACAATCTTGGCTCACTGCAGCCTCCGCCTTCCAGGTTCAAGCAATTTTCCTGCCTAAGCCTCCCAAGTAGCTGGATTACAGGTGCCCACCACCATGCTCGGCTAATTTTTGTATTTTTAGTAGAGATGGGTTTCACCATGTTGGCCAGGCTGGTCTCGAATTCCTGACCTCATGAGCCAGCAGCCTCAGTCTCCCAAAATGCTGGGATTACAGGCATGAGCCAATGCGCCCCGCCTACCTCTTATTGTCATTACCAACAAACTGTAGCTGTTAGCATTATTGGGAAAAATCAGCGCAGCCGCAGCTGCAGCCTAAGCAGGGCCAGGCCTGCCTGATTCATAGAGACACCGGGTCTCACACTGGGGAAGCGGGGAGTGGGGACAGATGGCTGAGTCAGGAGCGGCAGGCCTGGATCTGGCACTAGCTCAAGGTGTCAACCAGAGACTGGGCCACGTGTAACGCAGGGCACGTGTGAGGGTCCACACTGACGCCAGAAAGCACCCCTGCCTCCCACACTCGTGTTTGCGTTGTTACAGGGAGAAAGGGTGCCCTGGCCTCAGCCAGCCCCTACCTGTAGGAGGGGATGATCAGCAGGCTGGCGTCCGGCTTTATCTGAAACCTCAGAGTTACCCCCTCGAACCCGGGGTCCACTTTCTCGGTGCCCCGGCAGGGGTTCAGCTGCTTCCGGGGCCTTCTCTGGGGTGGGGCAGGGGGAGTACCCGAGGGCTGCAGGCGGTGGCCCTTCTGGCTGATCCGGGTCTGTGTGTCCTTGGAACCCCTGTCCAGCGGCAGGGAGCCCTGAGTCCCCAGAGCCATCAGCTCCCAGCAAGGCCCCAGGACCTGGGTGTCCAGAGCAGGGGATTGATCCAACCCCTCCACTGTCTCTTGGAGGAAGCGCAGAGCGGTGACGGAGTTCTGGCATGCAGGCCAGAGGGACCTGGGGACAAGGGCAGTGGGGTCACTCTTGGGGGACTCCTGGGTTCAGCCGACTAGGGTCCGGTTCTTTGCTAGCTGTGTACTCCTGGGCAGGCTACACACCCCACCTGAGGCTCAATCATTTCTAACTTTGGGTGGAAGGTTTACAAGTTGCAAAGTAATTGCAACTCACCTCGCCTACTGTGGGCCGGCCAGGCACATTCTCAGCCCTCCACATCAATCAGCCCCTCACGGCACCCGTAGATCACCCAGGCAGGGGCCGCCCTGGGTGACCGAGGCAGGGTTTCAAGCCTCTGGCTGCACGATCCAGAAAAAGGTTACTTTTTTTCTTTGTGTTTCTTTTAGAGACTGAGCCTCACTCTGTAGCCCCGGCTGGAGTGCAGGGGCGTGAGCAGGACTCAGTGCAGCCTAGAATTCCTGGGCTCGAGCGATCCTTCCGCCTCAGCCTCCCGAGTAGCTGGGACTTACAGGCATGCGCCACCACGCCGGCAGCCTTGCGATGATAGGATTACGAGTTTTATCATTTTCATTCTTATTGCGTTGCCCTCCATAACCCCTGGATGACTCCTGGGGAGTGCCTACATCAGCCCCAGAGACATGGAATTGCATGGCCTCTGATCCCGGAGATGACCCCAAGCATCTCTGTGGACCAGAACCTCTTTGTAAGTTTCAATAACTATTATAAAATTGCCACTTTTCTATCACCCGAGCAACAAGAGGTCATGACCCCCCGATCACTGGGCCAGGTGGTGAAGGGTCCGGGGAAGGGGTTTGGCCTTACGCACCTCCCACTGGTTCTCCGGCATCCTGGGGTCCTCGGCCTCTCCTGGGAGGAAGATCCTCCCAGCGGCTCCAGGTCCAGACAGGGCGACGCCAGCAGCTTTGCTGCCATTGAGGAGTTCGGTGCTGGTTTGGCCTCCATTGTGCCCCGACCCAGTCCCCTCCCTAATTTCACTTGGCCCCGCCCTTCTGAGCCCACCCGATGAAACCCACCTGGGAGGGGCGGGACCTGCGGGGTGTGGGCGCTCCTGACTGAGGATGTGATGACTTCCAGCTGAGAGCGACCAGCCTTGGCGGCGCCTTTCCTTTTTCTGGCTTCAGGTCATCTGCGCACCCCTGCGTGCCAAAAGCGGCCTGCACCCCACCAAATCCCTCCGCAACTGCGGGGGCGGGGCCTCCCACGCTGGCCCTCCCCCTCGGAAATGGGGGTTCCCAGGCCTCTGCCTCAGATCCCCAGTGGGATCTCAGATCCCAGAGAGAGGAGAGCCGGGGTCTCAGCACAGCAGATGCAGGTGTGTGTTTTTGTTTGTGTGAGACTGAGCCTCACTCTGTCACCCAGGCTGGAGTGCAATGGCCTGATCACTGCTCCACTGCAGCCTAAATCTCCTGGGCTTAAGTGATCCTCCCATCTCAATCTCCTGAGTAGCTGGGAGCACAAGCACTTACCACCACTCCACGCCAATTTTTACTTTTTTATAGAGACAGGGTCTCGCCATGTTGTCCTGGATGGTCTTAAGCTCCTGGCCTCAAGTGATCCTCCCGCCTTGGCCTCCCAAAGTGCTGGGATTACAGGTGTGAGCCATGTGCAGACCCCAGATCTGTCCCCCAAGGACACTCAACATGCTGGGGCCTGTGATACTGATTTATTGCAGCTCCAATCTGAGTCCACTCCTACTCACACCCCAATTCTCAGGGGCTTGGGGAAGGCCACCCAACAAGGTGCCCTGTCCCCACCAGAGCCTGGACATGGGAACCTCTCCCAAGCAGGGGTGCTGTCCTTCTCAGGGGTTTGCACATCTCTCCCGGGCCTGTCTGAGCTCTGGGCGGGGCTGGCATGAGGCTATTCCCTCAGTCTGGGCCCTGGGGCCTTGGCAACGTGGAAAGGTCCAGGCACCCATGTCAGTGCGGCTTGGGGACGTGGCCGTCCACGTAGAAGTTCCTGGTGATCTTGGGCAGGGTGAATTCTGCTCCTTCCAGCTCCCTCGTCAGCACGATCTGGCAGCCCAGCCGTGAGTTCTCCTGGAGGAGGGGGGCCATGTCTAGCATGTCGTCTTCCCTGGGGTGGTGACACGGGCAGTGTTAGCCGGGGGCATGCTGGTTGTGGGGTGGGGCGGGGTGGGGTGGGGGAGGCTGACTGAGCGCCGGAGGCGGTGGTGGGGGAGGCAGCTCCTCTTCCAGGAGCTGGAATCGGGGAGAACAGTGGGGGCTGTCCAGAAGTCCAAGCTGCAGCTCCCAGCCAGGCAGGGCTGCCCTACTCACCTCTCCTCAGGAGGAGGCAGGAGATCCAGGTGGTCTTCACTCACATACACATGGCAGGTGGAGCAAGCCAGGGACGCTTCACAGGCCCCTAGGGGCGGGAAGTGAAGGGGGAGCAGGTGAGTGGCACAGTCAGGAGGGGGGGCCACTCTGTGAAGGGAAGGGCAGAGAGAAGCCCTCTCTTCCCCCACGTGCCTCAAGTCTCCCTCCCGGGCCTGCAGCCCCACAGCTAGCCATTCCCCAGCTTCATATAGGGTTTACAAAGGGACACCCGGGGTGCCCCGTTTCTCAGGGACTCCCCAGGAGGCTGTGATGCAGAACCATTAAGGAGCGTGGACTTGGCTGCCAGGGAGCTGAGAGGGGAGGGCCAGGCAGGCTCCCAGCAGCCTGTGAGCCCTGGCTGTGACCCTATCACTGTGCTAGGCAAATGTGTCCCCACCTCTTGGCTGCTCTTGGAGGATGGACCAGCTGACTCAGCAGTCAGTGTGGTAGGGGAAGGAGTAAGGGATTAGGACTTTTTTTGAGACAGGGTCTCACTCTATTGCCCAGGCTGGGGTGCCTTGGCTCCATCACGGCTTACAGCCTCAATCTCCTGGCTCAAGCAATCCTCCCACCCCAGCCTCCTGAGTAGCTGGGACTACAGGTGCCCATCACACCACCATGCCTGGCTAATTTTTTTTTTTATATGGACTTGCAGTCCATGTTTGTTTAGTTTTTTCGAGATTGAGTTGCGCTCTGTTTGCCAAGGCTGTAATGCAATGGTGCGATCTCGGCTCACTGCAACCTCCTCCTCCCAGGTTCCAACTACTCTCGTGCCTCAGCCTCCCAAGTAGCTGGGATTACAGGCATGTACCACCACAACCAGCTCATTGTGTGTTTTTATTAGAGATAAGATTTCACCATGTTGGCCAGGCTGGTCGCAAACTCCTGACCTCAGGCGATCCACCCATCTCAGCCTCCCAAAGTGTTGAGATTACAGGTGTGAGCCGAGCCACCATGCCCAGCCCTTTTCTTTTTTTTTTTTTTTAAAAGATGAGGTTCACCATGTTGCCCAGGCTTGTCTCAAACTCCTAAGCTCATGCAATCTGCCTGCCTTGGCTTCCCAAAATGCTGGGACTACAGATATATGCCACTGCACCTGGCCAGGAATTAGGGTTGAAAGAGACGGAACCTGAGGTTTTCTGCTGACCACCTGCCCTTGGTCACACCCCCCACATCCTCTGATCATAGAGACCCGTGCCTGGGGATCACGTCCCTCCTGGCCTAAAACCTTCCAAAAGGTTTTCACACCCAGAATCGAATCCAAACTCCTCCACTTAGTCCTTCATCTCCCTCATTCATTCCTTTTCTGTTATACCTTTTAAAGTTTTTTTGTTCTGTTTTGTTGTTGTTGTTGTTGTTGTTGTTGAGACTGTCTCACTGTCACCCAGGCTGGAGTGCAGTGGCGTGATCTCCACTCACTGCAACCTCTACCTCCCGGATTCAAGCTATTATCCTGCGTCAGCCTACCACGTAGCTGGGATTACAGACTCCCACCACCACGACCAGTTAATTTTTGTATTTTTTAGTACAGGCGGGATTTCACCATGTTGGCCAGGCTGGTCTCGAACTCCTGACCTCAGGTGATCTGCCTGCCTTGGCCTCCCCAAAGTGCTGGGATTACAGGCATGAGCCATTGCACCTGGCCTCGTTTTGCTTTTTCTGTTTTCCTGCTTTGCATGAACTGTACAATTCACTCCTTGATGCAATTGGAACCCCCCAAGCTCACCCCCACCACAGGGCCTTTGCACTGACTGTATCCCTGGCCTGGAGTACCTTCCTTTCTACTTTTTGTTTCTGTTTTTTTTTTTTGGACATTTTTGAGAGGGAGTCATGCTCTGTCACCCAGGTTGGAGTGCAGTGGCGTGATGTCAGCTCACCGCGACCTTCACCTTCCGGGTTCAAGCAATTCTCCTGCCTCAGCCTCCTGAGTAGCTAGGATTACAGGCGCCCACCACCCTGCCTGGCTGATTGTTTTGTGTTTTTAGTAGAGACACGGTTTCACCATGTTGTCCAGGCTGCTCTTGAGCTCCTGACTTTACACGATCTGCCTACCTCAGCTTTTCAAAGTGCTGGGCTTACAGGTTTTGATCCTGGCCTGTTTCAGTTCTTTTTTTTTTTTTTTTTTT